TGATTTGCGTTATAACATGTTAAATCATGTGTTGCGCATACAAAGTACTTGGGAAATATGTTCGGAAGTGCAGAAAAGTGTTGCACTGCAAAGGACGAACTGCTCTATGGTTCTTATAAGTTCGAAGAGCATGGGCCAAAAATCTCAAGCATTTTAACGGTAAATAAAGGATTCATTTCGGAAACAGAGTTTGAAAAATGTTTGTTATGAGTGCCTATCCCTTGAATTGTGCGCCTGATCTAAAAGCCAATTAGTGTTTACCGAAACTTCCATTACCTTCTTGCTATATTGGCATCTATCTTTTATTGGTTATCATGTGATTAGAGGCACAGCATGACGATGTTTTGTTGGTAACAAGTAGATAAGCGAGTTCAAGAAAACAACAAACACTTGGGGATTATATGAAAAAAAATTACCATATGAGATGTAATTTTTTGTTCAAGACTTTTCTTCAGAGGACAGTACTGTCATCCGAAGAAGGATTGTTAATAGGATGGATGTGGATCTTGACCTCCAGATCTTCAAGTCGCTGAGGACTTACAAAGCCCTCGACCACAGAGTTTCTTCTTAAAAGGAAAACAACTATGAAACCCGCTACATTTGACAGCACTGTTGCCGATAGAATAAATCGGGATCGGGAGTGAATCCAAATCAGTTGGTCTGGCTTCGTTACAAATAGCCAGCAAGCGCAACCGATCACGAAATGCAAGCAATTTTCTTGCAGTTGCATTTTAGAATGAACCAAAAAATGACTTCTGATTTTGACTGCTAGGCATCATCATGCGGCTTCTTTTTTGCGAGTCTTGTTCGTCGCCAAAATCATAATACCTTATCTTCGTTATTTTATTCGTGGGCCTATGTTCGCTTACATAGTCTTAATGACTATTGTAATGGATGTCTTCTGCGACGTACAGTAAAAAATCATACTTTGTCGCACAAACCATCGCCGTTATAGGCAGTAGAGTAGTTGAAGTACTTCCTTTACACTCACCTTATTGTAACCATAAAATAGCTCATAGCCTAATTTATTCATAGTTTCCAAAGTTCGCGGTAAATGTCGCATGAACATTGTTCGAGATGTCGAATCAAAAGCAAGAATGTCAATAGAATAATGCGAGTCTCGTTTTTTCAACGGCTCTGATGCAAGTTTTCTGCCATAATCATCAAATGACTGCGTATCTCTTGTGTAGTAAACCTTCAATACAGCAATGAGGCCAAGACTGAAGTAGATATTTGTTCTACCGTGTTAGGTACTCTATCTAGGTCCCTCATGCCAGGATAGACATCCTCGAATATCTTGGTACCATTATTGAAGCAACGAATGTAAAAGGCATCCCCATTTGCAAAGAATCGCTTATTTTCATTTACCTGTTGAAGAACACAAGTCAGCTTCTATAAATCAAGCAAAACAATTCAACCTCTACTTCAGCGACTTCTTTGAATACGTTTTTACCTTTGTTCGTTATATTATCTCTCAATGCTCCTTCCAAAAATATGACCTAAAGATCAAAAATCAGTGAATGGTTTTTGTAAAGAAATCATCCTTGTAAAGTATTTACCTTGCAGTTTACATCTTTCAGGTATTTCGGATATTTTGCGTAATGTGGGTGAATGTACATGTACCCTTCGCTATCCATAGTGGCAAGATCAAAATCTTCGTATGGGCATTGTAGTTGACGCAAACGCTCAGATATGCGCTGAAGAAGCAGAGTTCATAGTTGTTTGTATCGAAATTGCGCCTTTAACATCCCACACATTCTAATCGTCAAAGACGATTTGCATAGGCTCACTACTTGCTTTGCTTATAGCGATGTTTCTATATTTACTCACTTCTCTGCACCCACTTTGTTGGGAAAGACTCCAGGTATTTATAATAGGATTTCAGGTTGTCAAAGACTAGCTAAACATGGAGCCACAACTTTTTTGCAATCGAAATGAGAGAACCGCTAAAACGGAAAAAGCTTGCCAAAACTTTGCTTTGCATTAGGGTGATCGCAAAGTAATGAAACATTTCCATTTTCTTTATTTTTGAAAGTTTCGAAAGACAACAAACAGGCAGATACTCAAACTGACCCTCTCCTACCATTCTAACATCGACACCGCTCCCGTCCCAAATTACTGCGGTGGAGCTTTGAAGAAGTCGGACCAAGCTTTTTAGACATCTCTTGGAGTGATGCTGCTATATCACAACGTCAGCAAGTCACACACCGTTCGCAAGAGCCAAGCTCTTTTAGATGATCACTCAACTATAGGCCGTACGCGCAGGGCGCGAAGAGTGCGCAAGGTGTGCAATGCGCACCACTCCTCTTTCATCGTTTATTCTCGCCGTCTGTTTTCTTTACGCCTCCAGCCACGTACTGCTTTGAATGGGCGCAGCCGCGTTGCTCTCGAGCACAGCGCGAACGGCCTATAGAAAAGTTTTCTCTAAGTAAGAAAGGCGAAAAACTTGAAAAAGCGTGTCTTTGCGGCATAAAAAACCAAGAAACATGTTTTCGTCTTATTTCTTCGAAGATGGAGGAGACTTGAGGTATATGGATTGATAGAGCAAAAAAAGTTAATGATTATCAAAAAGCAGGAAACCCCTGCAAAGAAAGAGTTAACAAGTAATCATCCATTTCAACCATCGAAATACCCACCATTATATCTCCTGACCCGGAGCGCAGTTAACACAAAGCTGCGCCAGTTATAGTGGCAGTCGTCTTTCTTACTGCGGCACTTTGTGTGCCCTTACTTATTTTAGTGATACTGCCCAAAGTTTATGTTCACTAAAAATGATTAGCGTCGCTTTTCTGCAGTTGTAGAAATTACTACACATACAAATGAGCATATATAAGTTGTGCTAGATAGAGAATAATATGTTCTAGCATCCAAAACTAGAAAGTCAAATGAAGTTCTTTCTTGAAAGAAGTGCAGTTATGCTCGAAATGTTCCAATACTTTCCCCTCACCATTATAATATTAGCAATCACCAAATGAAAGATGAATACCAATGATAACTGTTTCCTGTAACAACTTACCATTGTCACAGAAGAATTTAATCACAACAATTAGGACAGTAAAAGTGTTTTTAT